TCTGATATAATAACAATAAACGTCAGCAGATAGTTAGTAGCTGTAGGGCTAGGGCTTTATACAATTTAATATAAATCTTTCATTGACACTAACAAATATGTAAATTTTACGATGAAATTGAGATATAATTATATCTAAAACTTATATTTTGGGGGTTCGTAAAAAAAATATAAATATTTAGTAGTAGTTGCTATTATTTTTCCTAAAAAAAAATACTGAAATAAAATCAGACAAATCAAATAACAAATTGTATGAGAAATGTATAATTTTATAGTTTATTTGATTAAATACATGAGTATTTGATGAAATTTTTGACCCGATTTCGAGTTTATGATCCTTTTTAATTTAATAGCTACTTAACTAACAAACAACTATTATTATATTTGTTAAAGAGTACGAGTATAACCCTTCGATCAAAAAATCCCTTTTCAATTGTTCTCCCTATAATTATTAGTTAATATTACTTTTATCGTCTAAAACAAAGGGTATTGTCTTGAACAGTAATGTAACGTTTTTACTTCATCCAATATTTTTATTTTAATATATAAAAATATTATATATTTGTTCGTATACGTAAATATATTTGTTCAATAAAAGAGCATTATTTTAATATTTTTACATCCAATTTACATTATAAATCAAGAGCCTTTTACACTATTAATCATCATTATCAACTTCATTAGAAAGAGAGAAATAATTTCTACGAATAAAATATTTAGATTCCTTATTATATTTATATATGCAATATTCTCTTATTTATCTATAATATAATTTCCGTCATGGATATTAAAAGATATCACAAAGGTATGTCGATTTATTATAGATACTCTACGCTTACTAAAATAACTGGATCCATCTGTTGACTTTACGTAATTGAACCGACGAATAAATGCGAATGAAATATGAGAGGTAGAAAGGACCTTAGAAAAGGATACAGGGTCGTTTTATTAGGATAATATGATCCATAATGACGAGGCCGAAAAACAGACCTAGTCTTATAACTCAACATAATTTTAAAATCATTTCTCTAACTTTTACCTCGTATAGTAACATAATATTAAGTAAAATGTAAGATCAACAAGTAGGTATGCTTAGTATAAGCCTGCATCGTTATATACGTGAAGCTTTTCCTTTTTCTCGCTAAAAACCAACAGTAATATAATAATTTGTCAATATTAACAAATAAAAAACTCATATATATGTTTCGTGGCGATGCTAACTTGGAATATGCGTACTGTTCCGGATCAAATTTCATTATACTCCAGGCTATTTAGTACAGATCACGATAAATTGATACAGAAAGCGAAAACATGGCTAATTAATTCAATACAGATCGCAATTCATGACACAAAAGAGGATATAAAAATCAATATTTTTATTTGCTTGTTTTGATACAAAAAATATAGATTTGTCGTATAAAATCTATTAATTTGTATCATATAAACTTAATTGATATTAACAAGAATCCAATAAGCATTGTTTGTGATAACAAATAACCGTGTAACCACTGGTTTAGATAGGTATTTGTGTGACGAAATGTCCGAATAATTTAATATAGAAGTTTGTAAGCCGAGGACGGAGGTAAAAACGCTAACATTGTTTATCGGTCCGGTCCCTCACAATCACGCCATTACTACGGGGACTCAATTGACTTTTCATTGTTTTTCGATATTCCCTTATTCGCTTTGATGAACTCTTTTCTCTTTATTGTTAGCATGTGATTTATGAACCAGCTCTTACCACATGAACGGGCTCGAGCTTGTGCATTAATGGTATAAAATATTCAATAAAGGCCTTTTATTTATGACTTTGACGTGGACTTTAACAAGCTGAGTGGAAAACTTTTTTATTTTATTAAAGAAATCCTGTTTCTGTATCCCGTTTTACGTCTTGTGACTTTAAGAGGCTTTAATTGACCTCTGGCATTTAACTCGACTAACTAATTAAAAATAATACGACTATAAGAACTGTGTACGACAAAAAATACTACAAGCATAAACTTCTTTATATCGTTTAATTATGTTAAAAGCAAATTATTAACAATTTCTCTAACTAATTACGGATTTATTGATAAACTAAAAATATTATATTTATAAGGAAAACACAAAATTAACACTTTAATATTAAACCGGTCCCATAAATTCTATGTAAATTTGTTTTACCACTTTCGACGTGATTAAGTAACGACGTTCAAATTTATAATACTATTAGTATGAGAAGCCTTTGCAATTCAATTATGCTACATGTCGATAACTGATTTAATAAAATAATATGCAAATTTCCTTATATTTATTAAAATTCCATCATTAATATAATTTTTATATACGTTATGTAATATGAGATTAATTACGTCATGTTTTAAAGACATTTCAACGTCAAGAGAAATTAATATACAAGGGAACATCTCGTTTCAAAGAGATAGCAACATCACAATTATAATGATTGATGTTCAAAGTTAATACCAACTCATGAAATATTTGTTAATAATTGTATTTATAAAATGAGAAAAAATAAATACATACATATTGAATTATTATCATCTGATTATAATTCAAGAAATCAATAAAAAACCATTTATTAATATGCACAGGCAAAACTATAATTTGTACGTACTAGCACATATTTGCTGATATATTTAAATAGGCGTATTTTTAAAAATATATATTTTTATGACGTAAAATTTAATTTATTCTGGGAGAGATGAATGCCTTTCATTAACTTTATGTTTTCGAATATCAATATACAAATACGGAAAATCGTAAATGTGTTGCTAATCGGAAAACGACCTTATGAAAAATTAGCAACACTATGCTAATTTGTCATGACTTGCCTGTTTTTAATCCAGACAACTATATACGTTTTTGGCATTTTATAATTACAAACTGTAAAACATTAATATCCTACCAATTACGAGGAATGCGTTATACTAAAGTACTACGTCCTTTACACAACATAAGAATAAATAAATTGTTTATAAAATTACTCTATTTTTTAACCAGCAATACAATTGTGGTCAGAATCCATCAAATAGAACGAAATTCTAAATACTACCACAACGAAGTGCACTCTGGAACAAACTAAACTAATTGAGTACATCACTATAAAATATAACATGCAGAAATCATATACATTCACGAGACACAGATGACAAAACTAAAAAGTCACATGACAAATCATGTAGGCACGTTGCATAAAATGAATTATCAGTAGTTTTTATTCACAAAGCACATAACTAAAATAACAATTTTCATATATTAAATACGCAAAAGAACGTTGAATTTATAATAAATGATAATCATAACGCTTTAATAATTCAGAATTTTAAGAGCATTCAAAATACGAACTTCATAACTAAAAAGGGGCGGTGGCCAAGATTAGGCTTCGTCATTGTTCGCAAGATTGTTCTTTAGACTCTTGGTTTTCTCAGTAAACGATTTTTTATTCAAATCAGGAATTCCATTATTTAGATTTTATTAAACGTCCTACAAAAAATAATAAATTAAAACGACTACTTTTCTTAATAAAAGCATAGAATACTTAATTATTATTTCAAATTAAGCTGAATAAATCTTCAAGGTTAGTAGCATAAGATGTAATAAGTAATAAATAATCTGTTACATTACAGATTTCCTGTTAAATCCCCAGAAAGAATGCGAGTTGATATCAATATTCAATATTTATACAGGGTGACTGGTGAATTACTATCGATACTTGAGGACGTTATATTTGACGATCATATATGACAAAATAAAAATTAATATAACATAAATATTAATAAACTTCTAAGTAAAGTTAACCAAAAGTTATGTAATTAATTACGCATCGTGTGAACACCCTACAGATTAGGTATACACACACACACACATACGCGTGCGGCGGCGTAGTGTTGTATCAGCACGCCGCCGCACGCGTCCACACTTGGAACACTTGGAACGTGTCCACACTTTATTTATTTATACGGAAATTTGGTCAAAAATTAAGTACCTATTTTTTTTACATAATTCGAATGAGAATCATGTACCGAGTATGCTCCTTAAATATTGATAGTAATTCACCAGTCACCCTGTATATGAAATCCGAAGGTCATAGGATATTAAAATTAATAAAATTACTACGTATTTATTGAGCCTGCAATAAAAAATACTCAAGGAAAAATGTTGAATGTATTAAAAGCAGGTCTTGTAACATTTATCTGTTTTCTCGTATAAAACAGTGAGTGACATCACAAACAGATTTATCTGAGATTTAAAACGGAAAATTACTTTTTCTCATGACAGTTGGCCAATGAAAAAGATTCAACTTTATTCAAATAGTGAATTGATTTTGTTTTTCTTGCTTATTATTCTATTAATGTAATAAATCAAGAATTTGAACATGTTAGGGCAATAATTATCCTAATTTACAGTAGAAAATTAGGTAAATCCAATACTAAGATATGAATGAGGTATATTAAGCTTCAAACATTTAAAAGTAAAAGATTATATTTATAGTATGCTTAAATGTATAAAATAAATGTATCATAACTCATGCGTAAAAATATTCATTTTATGATTAAAATATATTCAGTCTTATATAAAAAAATATTAATAGTTTGAATATATAATATAACAGTCGAAAATGCATTTGTTTATTCATAAAAAATCAAATGTATTACAAGAATATTTAGAATTTACAACATTTTAAGTTTTTTGTGACATAAGCTTCTTATAGAACAAATTTATAGTTTTATCAATTAAGAGGTTTTTTATTATATATGAAAAATTCACAGAACAAAGAAATGAGATATAAATTGTACTTTTGAAATTGATATACAATTTATGTATTTCCAAAACGTATAACAAGCAGTAAAGTAATATTGTAGTCATAAAACATTCAATGTGTATATACATATAACTATTAATATCACTAAGAAATGAGTTTCGTTATTCTATAAATCGTAGTTCAAGAAGTGGGTACGACGACAAGACGAAAAGTTTTAATTTTGTTCAGAATTCGGAAAGTTGAGATTGTTTTCCCCGGTCAAAGTGGCTCGAGACCTTGAAGGGTGCGGGGAGGTGGGCGGAGCAGCACCAGCAACAGGTCAGATGAGATCAATACGGAGGCTGGAGCAGCGAACATGCGCACACAGACCCGCGACCACCATGCGCCTTGCGATCCTCCTCACGCTGTCATTCCTAGCACCAGGTATGTCAAAAGATACATTTCATTATGCATCCTGCTAAATATACATAAATTTGCATCCATATGACATTATCTATAATTGCCAAAACAGCTTATATCCAATTGACGCATCTTGACCAGGTCCGTTGACATGTCCCATCTAAATGTCAAATCAAAAATGTCCATGATAGGAACCAAACGAATGCTTTGTTTTAAACTTACTTGGTAATAAAATAATTCAATAAAACTATATCTTAAAACATTCAATGCACAAAGAAATATTTTTCCTTAAATGACCTATAAATAAACATTATTTACATATGCTTAATGCGTAATTCAGTCTGATCATGCTCTGGTTATTTTATGTAAATCTTAATAGGTAATATTTCTTAATTCCAGGTGATTGTGACCTGTTACGGGATAGTGTCCACGTGACATCAGCGGCGGCAAGGCCTAATAATGAGCTGTGGTGTTACAAGTGCCTGGCAGAGGATCCAGATGGACCCTGTGCTGATTTACGGCACAATAACTCAGCACTCATACACAAATGTAACAACGAAAGGCGAATGTGTATGGTAATTGTAGAATTTAATTTCTTTTTACCATAAAAACCTTTGCTTTTAGACCGATGCATGAGAATATATATTGTGTTATTTCATTCCTCATAATCTTTATTAATAAGGAATAGGTTCTATTAGAAGATGTTGTGAATCAATTTGAATGATTGTTATTTTGTGTCAGGTAAAAAGATTTTCGTATACGACTTCAAATGAAAACTCCACAACAGCTCTGAAGATGTGGGCATTGGAACGCAACTGCACAAAGCATTGTGAAGCTGGATGCATTGTCATCGGTGAAAGGACCAAGCTGTACGCCTGTACTTCGTGTTGCACAACCTCACTATGCAACTACGGATCTGGCGCTCAACAATTTACTATATACTTCCTTATAAATACTTTCATTACTGCTCTAGCTCTCCTTATTTAAGTAATAAAGTAGATAGATCAATATTATTACTAAATTTGGTCATGTTCTAGTCTTAAATTGGAATTCATTATTATTAATGAATTTGTTCCTTTAAATAAAGCTCAACATATCTTTTTGTTTAAAATGCTTTGTAGTGTGATACCTACATTAGGTGTCAGTTAAGATTATCGCAATAAAATAAAATATATCTTTTGTTTTATTGTGTCCCACACCAGTCCAAATATAATACATCTTATCTTCGATGTGTCATATTTACTGTAAACGTCAATGTTCACACAAATAACTTTATAAGTAGATGTCTCTAGTCTCAAAAATTATAATAAAATATAATGTAAGCACTCTCAAATCCTTTTTTGATTGTTGTCTATTTATTACAATCATTTATTTTTTATGGCATCTCTAACCCAATTCGAGGAGAACTCAATTTAAAATGTGGAATACATTTTTTTATTTAATTCTTAATTTAGATTAATATAGATTTTCAACCTTCATAGAACACTGTGGCTCTTAAAGGTTTATTCATATTCGAAAAATAACAAATTAACAGTCATTAATTGAAATTTATTTTAATATTTGAGCCCCTTAATTATAAGTAAAATCCCATTGGAAAGTACAAAGATATGTTTGTAGGCACATATCTGATAATATTGAATTGGACGCTTTTAGCTGAATAACGGGTTAACTGATGTCAATAAGTCGAAAAAAATAACTAAATATGAAGTTCAACACTTTCTCAAATTAATCATAGAATTTTATTTATGAGATGTTTAAAATTCATAACTATTTAATAGCAATGTTAAAAACACAGAATGTGTAAAAATAAAGACATTTAGATAACAAATACCAAACATAAAAATAAAATCACTAGGTTTTGAAATTGAAAACCTGATACTTAGACAATGTTATCGCTGTTATATAATCAAAATCTTATATAATCAAATATTATATTTTATTGTTCTAAAATATTAAATACATAAGTAATATATTATTATAATAATATTTTTGGTCTTTGTCTGAGGTATTTACCTTACACTTATATGTGTGTAAATACTTCTCAAACTTACCCCATATAACTTACACAAAAATTAACTAAATGTAAGTTTTCATTTTTTATTACTTATTATGTTTGGATTCCATAAAATCAATAACTCGTTAGCGGCTATGAATTGTAAACTAAATAATGTAAGGCATCATTTCTTTACCTATAATTAATTATATGAAGGTTGAAACCTGACTAGAAATAATTATACCTACATAGGGTATATATAGGGTTTTCGTCAATGAACTTCAACGCGAAATTCACTCAAACCTTATTTAGCCATCTCGCTACTTTTCTGATCAAAGTGGAAAAAAGTAATTTTTGATAAAAGAATATTAGTAGGAAGGAAAATTCCGCGATACAAACAAAATGTAATGTAATTATTAAACATAAAGGTTTCCGTGCCAACAGCTGTCCTTTCAATTTTAATTACTTCTTGACAAACGCAAAATGGCGGGCGTGCTGTTTTACTCGTCTTTATAAACTATCAAATGCAAGGTACAATTGACTGTTCGATAAACACTTGAAATAGTTTTGTAATGAAAGATAACAATTAAATTATGACCGACATGTATATTTTCACACACATACGTTATCTGATGGAAAATTGATAAACATGCGGTATGAGAACCATAAACTGACATTGCATTGACCTTCAATAACTTCCGTTGTCTAATACAAACAACTAATGTAAACTTTATTCAGTACACTTTGAAAGTGACATTAAAAATTCATTCAACTATAAAACGATGACGTAATTTCTCTAGAATTATAGGTACAAAAAGGAAACAATGGAATCATTATATAAGTTAATTTATTATGAATAAACAATGCACAGGAGTAAATGCATTTTGTAGTTTTGCAAAATATAGCATAGTTATAAATTTTATAACATAATTGGAATGACCCACAGTAAACTTCAAATATATGGTAATTTTTATGACTGGGAAGGTATTACTTAGGAGGACATAACATTAAACTTAAAATATTGCAGTTAGTTTCTATAATATTACAGTATTTTTAAGAGAGTTGTCCACAGTCGGTGATGACAATCTTGCGGGATGGCTTTCCGGACTGGGAGCCCATGGATTCGATCTTCTTAACAACATCCATGCCTTCAACCACATTACCGAAGACGACGTGTCTGCCATCTAACCAAGACGTTTTGAGAGTGGTGATGAAGAATTGAGAGCCGTTGGTGTTGGGACCGGCATTGGCCATGGACAGAACACCGGGGCCAGTGTGCTTCAAGACGAAGTTCTCATCGGTAAACTTCTCGCCGTAGATAGACTTTCCACCGGTACCGTTGTGGTTTGTGAAGTCACCTCCTTGCAACATGAAGTTGGGGATGACGCGGTGGAAGGTGGAGCCCTTGTAGCCGAAACCTTTTTCACCGGTGCACAGGGCCCTGAAGTTCTCGCATGTTTTAGGTGTGACGTCAGTTCTCAACTGTAAAAAAAAAGTGAACAAAATATATTAAACTTAGAATTAAAATCGAATATAAACGAATAGAGAGATGATAGATATCGCAGAGATGAAATAAATACAATAGAACAAAAAAATAATAATTATGGTTCGCAAACGAACTTTCCGCCCGTAACTACTAATCAATTAAGATTTTTTCAAGATGGAAATATCCGTTCCAAATGTGGTTTTCCTTATGCAAACGCATCTGAAAGATTATTGTTACCACTTAACTACGACCTTTTAAGGTGTTGGTGTTCAACATTAGCCATTAAGTCGACCTTCAAAAAGTAATTTCGATCACGCAAGTATAAGTTATAACAAGATTTAATACACATATCTTTGTTCAGGAACAAATACTGAACAAAATATGTTATTTAATAAACTTTGTACAGATATCAGGTTAATATAATTATAGAAAGAGACACATTATAGCGTGGTCGGTCAGACACGCCGGCCGGGATGACAACTCCCAAAAGGAATGTGTAATAAAATTTACCTCAATAATAATTCTTCCCAACGCTGAACCGTCGGCAGCAACGTCAAAGAAAACTCGCGGCAGGCTCATCTTTTAAAGAGATATTGATTCACAAATCTATCTATCTAGAATCACGGCAGAATGACGAAGCGTCTCTTAACGATGCCGACCGGAAATTAAAAGGTTCATAGACAAGACCCAAAGTTTGATTTCCTTTCAACGTTCAAAAACCGTTCACTTCCATGGAACATTCGAGATTTAAAAAGTAAATTAATTTAAAATGTCTTATATTATTAAAATAATAGTTTAAATGAGTTTCGACGAAAATTATAGTTGTCAATATTTTTTTTAAATAAAATGTGATTATAATGAAGTAATTAATTCTTATAATATTTTCATTAAATTTAATATTATAAAATCCCTAGCTAGCTCTACACAAATTTCAGATTATTATAAAAAATGAAGTTATTAAATTAAAAAATTAATGTAATTTAACACTATTAATAGTTTATAATTGTCAATACGACACCAATACAGAATTTCAAAGTTTGACAGTTGAAAATAAGAACTGGGATGTGTATTTTATTAGTGTTAAGGTAGTGAGCATCAGTTCATATTTCATAATTACAAGCATGAAATATTACGTCTTATAAAGTTCCGTGCCATTATTGAGCATCATTATATAAAACTTTTAGTAAGTTTATTCAGATACGAATAAGCCACGATAAATTTTCTAATAACTATTTCATAATAGGATAGAATATTCTGATAAAATAAATTGCTGTAGCATATTGATAATAACTAAAAATTAATACTTTTTATAGGCGATAAACTAGAAAAAACAAAAATGAGCTTAGAATCAATAAAATATGAGAGAGGTAAATTGGAAGTATTGGATCAGCTGTTACTGCCACTCCAAACTCGATATATAAAAGTGCAAGGTGTTGAAGACGGCTGGAAAGTTATTAATAAAATGCAAGTTAGTATAATTATATATTTGAAACCTTATTAATGATATAACTTCAAGAATAATTTTACTAATGACTTGACTATATGACTTAGTTATAAATACTTTGACAGGTACTTTGTATAAACAATTGTGTTTCATTATCATGTCTATTACTTGTCAATTAAATTAATTATGGATTAGAACTTATTAGATACTATATTTCAGGTGAGGGGAGCACCAGCAATAGCCATAGTTGGATGCTTATCTTTGGCTATAGAGCTTATGAAGGATGACTGCTCCGACAAAAAAATTATGAGGCAAGAGGTCAGTGTGATAACAAGTGACAACTACAATCATATGTCTCAATAACACTATCAGTAGAATTATTTCTTCTAGCTTTAATTCTCCTAACTATTATATAAGATAATGTATTTACTTTCTGTCCGTCAGTTTTACACTATGAGGCCTACAAACTCTTTTTTCATGTAGTATAAAACCTATAAAAATCTGGTTAGCTTTACCAAATATAATATTTGTACATCAGAAACTACTGAAATATTTTCTATTCATATATGTACCTAAACATATATCCAAAAACTGATAATAATAATTAAGTAGTTCATGAAATAGAAACATACTATTTTATATTTATAATGAATACTACAACTATAGATTTCAGCTAGTTAATGTATAATATATACTTTTATTTAATATATATATAAGAAAAACAGTAAGCCATACTGTCATTGTAAATGTTATCATGAAGATAATTATATAATTTACATTCTAAGATTATTTTAAACCCTAGTCAAAGATAAGAAAGAATGCATTATCATAAATTATGTGTATAAAATTAGTTTTGTTACTATTATTGAAACAGTTTAGTTTAATATCTTTATTTCGACTTACATAAGTAATTTCGGTAAATTATTTTGTTATTCACAAACAATAAATACTATAAAATAATGACTTGAAAATAGAATTATAAGTTTAATTACTTTATTTATACAGAATACTAAATGTGATATTGATTTTCAATTACAACTTATTATAAACGAGAAAGTGAGAGTTTCTTCTTTGTTTTGTTGAAAAAAACTAGTTATCAAAGTTAGCAAGTTGATAAATGGGTTTATAAATAACAAAAAATTTGCCAGAATGTATATAAATGTATTTTGCTTGCTGACATATTGTTATTAAAAGTACAAAATTGTCACTGAAATTATTAATGTGATGATGTGATATTACTAAAATAGCATTTTATTCATCTTAGATTGAAGGAAAATTAAACTATCTGGTGTCGGCGCGACCGACAGCTGTTAACATAAAATTAGCCGGTGATGAGCTTATTAATTTCGCAAATAGTTTGTGTGCAGATGAAAATGTTACCGCTGATGATTTCAGAGAGAGGTATGTTATATAAACATTATAATATTAATAAGATGATGATTATGTTTAGGAAAAATATGTATGTGTAAATTACTAGCTGCGCCCCGCAGTGTTACCGGGATTTCCGGGATGTAGAGTAGCCTAGGTGTTATTCCTGGACGTCAGCTTCCTGTGTACAAAATTTTATCATAATCGGTGCAGCCGTTTAAGCGTGAAGAAGTAACAAACATGCACACACAAACTTTCGCAATTATAATATTAGTAGGATTAAGCAGTGGACATATAAATTTTGAATAAGACAACTATACAAGATTTTTTTTAATTCTTTATAATAATTCTATGTGTTTTCAACATTTAGGTTTATAAGGAGTATAGAAAATATGTTGATAAAAGATATTGAGGACAACAAGGCTATTGGCAAGTATGGTTGTGAAGCTATACTTAAAAACTTAGAGGGTGATGGCCATGTTAGAATTCTAACACATTGCAATACTGGTTCTCTAGCCACGGCCGGATATGGGACTGCATTAGGAGTTATTAGATCATTGAATGCTGCCAAAAAATTAGGTAAAAGATATTTTTATACTACTCCTTTAGAGATTACCACTTTGTTTGACTTCATGTTTTTTTTACGTTTTTGTAATATCCAACAAAAATACAATATTTCGGAATTTAACACACATTGTTTATTTCTGTATGTGTATATATTTTGTTCGTAAATGTATTACTTGTAACTATAGTTTTCATATGTACAAATGTTAGAATTTATCAATTAAATTTTTAATTCCAAAATATTTCATTAATTTTATCTTTAGCTGCCTCATTTAGCTACAACGCAGTATAGATATTTTTAATATATACTAAGTAAATTAAATATAAATACATCCTGTCCATATTCATGTAATGACTATAAATTATGTTCCATTTTTAATTCTATGATATTATTCATTAAAATACTCATAGTTGATTATTTTTTGATTTGTTGTATATTATGATGTTTAATTCCTGATGACCCTGAGTTTGATAGAAGAATGGGTGTAGTAACTTTCCACAGAACAATTTTGATAGATGCATCCTATTATATTCTATTTTTCTATTACTATGAAGGTTAAAATTAGAGCTCATATTTCCAGAATTCTCAAATAATCCAACATTAATTCTCACTGAAGTTATGAAATACATCATCTTATACATTACTACAATTTTCACTTTTATATCTTATTTTTATATTACATCCCACATTCAACATTTTCTGTTACCAAGACTATGCAGTTAAGGATTTGATATAAATTGCTTTCATAACGATCCTAAGATAGTATGTATTAAATTATAATGTTTCTTTTCAGAACATGTATACTGTACAGAAACCCGTCCATACAATCAAGGCGCAAGGCTGACTGCATATGAATTAGTTCATGAGAAAATACCCGCAACGCTAGTTGTAGACAGCATGGTAGCAGCACTCATGCATGCAAGGAATATTAGTGCAGTGGTTGTTGGAGCTGATAGGGTAATGTTTGTTATTTGTATTATAAATAATTACAATTTTGTTACACTGTACTTATTAAACTATTCTGTCTGTCAATTCATATTTTAACAAGGAATGATGCTACATCGTTAATTACTGTTGTTTTAGATATTGAATATAGAATTAATGCCTTCAAGTAATTTACTAGTTAATAAGATGAATTGATGTTGCATATAAGTTATATCCTTTATATATTAAATAATAATTCTTTCAATTTTTTTTTCTCCTTATGAAGTTACTGAACCACAAGTTATGTTTTGTATGTAAATGCTTGTTGTATTAATCCATTTATTCTACACTTTCATAGGTTGCTGCCAATGGTGATACTGCAAATAAAATAGGAACATACCAAATAGCAATAGTAGCAAAACACCACAATGTGCCTTTTTATGTAGCTGCTCCGCTGACATCTATAGACATGTCATTGAAATCAGGAGACAGGATCAAGATAGAGGAACGGCCTGATAGAGAAATGACACATATTGGTGAACATAGGATCGCTGCTCCAGGTTTATTGTTTATTCATATACTATTTTACAAGACTTATACTATACTTTTATTATATGGTACTTCTTCAAACAGATTATGTAAGCAAAGGTATATATTAAGCTCTAAAATAACTATAACTATATTAACTAAGCTCCAAAATAATCTTAATTTTAAAGCTTATGAATAAATACAGTAATATTTCCTTTTTCTCAAAACCATTTTTGAGAATATTAAGAATGTGTCCTACTTTAAAATTTTAAGTTATAACATGCACTGGTGGATAAATACACCAGAATCCAGTTAAAATATAGAATTATAAATAAAATGATCACTCGCATTTATAAACAGTTTTTGTTATTAACATATATTGAATTAACCATAGTTTATTATTAAATAAATTATCAATTAAATAAATTAAATTATTCTTTTCTCAGGTATAAATTGTTGGAATCCCTCATTCGATGTGACGCCAGCTGCACTTATAACAGGAATTATTACCGAGAAAGGTGTTTTCGCCCCGGATAAATTATATGAGGCAGTTCCCTAACAAAACTAATTAAGCCAGCAGTTTAAGTTCCTATAGTGTACACTATTATAACGTGTTATAACGCTCATATTAAAAAATATAATCCTATTATAACTATAATGAAATATTATATTTGATATTACAATTTTATAACCTGTTTATATGATAAGTGAAAATGATAACAAATTAAAAAAATATATATGAATCTCTTCCAAATAACTGCTGAAATTTATAAGGCTGACTATAACGTCAGCCGAAAAGACATTAATACTAGAAGCGTGCTGAAATAAACCGAAAAATATACAAAAAAAGATAGTTTCATTATAACATAAATATATTAAATTAAAATAATTTTAAAGATTTGCTCAAATGTCTCTTTTTACCTTTTATAAACAAATTTATATCTTCCTGTCTTGTAGTACCACTTATATGTAAATGTGGGAGGAAGAAAAAAAGGCAAAACACACGCTCAGGGTAAGACTTCATGTTAAAAAAGTTAAATTATACATAATCGTGTTTAATATCAACGGCCTCACTTCCTCGCATATCGGAGATGAAAACACAGTTACGTTTCTTATAATAGGATAATTTCACACTACTTAATGTGTTTTTATCCCTAGTTTGTGTAGTCACACTAAATAAAGACAATTTTCTGTTTTCATTCTTGAAACCCAAGTCGATACTGTAATATGCCAAATTTTATGTTATTTTGTAGTCTGCTTATTTAGTTTTGATTATGCAATCTTATGGTACGGACTCAAGCGTTTATTATCCTGGTATAAAAAGTTAACAACAATTTTCAGGTTTTTTATTCAAAACAGTACGATTAATTTACTACTAACTAAGAATTTACAAATGTTATAAATTATGATGCATATATTTTAGACATAGTATTGCAACATGTTTCAAACAGAGAAAGAAATATAAAGATATTTTAATAATTGTATACAAACGTATTAGAAGATAAAAGTTACGTATTTGGTTAAATTAATATATAAATTATAAAGCTTTCGTTTGTTACATTCGTTTAATAAAAAATTATTACCGAATAATTGTTTTATTGCACTCTTTACACAAGTACGTACATAACAAATTAAAATAAATTCTCTTATTTAAAAATTGATATTTTATTGTATCTAATTTAAGGTTAAAGTCATGGGTTCCGTGCCCTTATGTTGAATAGAAAATAAACAAACATTTTAACGCTTCAAAGAAAATTACTTTGAGACATCATAGTATGTACACGAAATTTTAAAAAATATAATATCCAGTATTTTCAATTACAATATTTTAGTTGAAACTTTTGCTAGTGAATATTTATGGCCAGATAACTACTTGAAATGGTATAAAATGTTCTATTTATTAAATAAAACGTATGATATTGAATTTATTGTATTAAAATTATAAAAAATAGTAATTTGAATATTAAATTAAATTAATAAATACTGTTTGCGGCCATATTTTGCAGTTGTTACAAATTTTAATGCAATAGCAACACCAAGTACAATTCCAATATGTCAGTCAAGCAGTGGAGAGGTTCAGTAATCCTGTTTATTGTAAATTGTAGTTACATTAAGTGATGATGAGTTTAAAATGAGACAATAAAGGAAAAGTAGGACTGTTTTAGTTTTTATTGTTTTAGGATCCTTAATAAATTATGTTTTATAGTTGATCCCAGATCTAGGAAGAAATTAATTTGTTGTTATTTATTGTTTTAACTTATCTGAACCGAGACTCAAGCCAAAGCAGACATGGTCGTGTTGTTAAACATGTTATTTCAGTGATCGTTTATTAGGATAACTATTTGTTGTAATGTAAATAAAAAATCTTGTTTGGACGCGCATGCGTTTGTGTGGAAAACAGACAAAGGTTTTGTGTAGTTCTTAAATCAGCTGTGTGCAATGACTTAGTGATACAAAAAGTGTGTGTGTTTTTAGCGACAATGTTTAGTGAAATTGGATACATAATTTTTCTTCTTCTCGCCTTTCCTTATATTGAAAGTGGTAAGTTAAAACCCTGTATAATAACGTTCCAGGTCATTGTTTCGCTAATAACTTACGTATTTCACCAGACCACGGCAACTTGTTAGTCATGCCGAAATCATGACTAATTTCATTTAAGTGCTAGAATATTTTGACTGGTTTCTAAGGAGTTTATTACTTACACAAAGAGAATGGATGTAATTATTTTATTTTTCAATTGTAGCACATAAAACACTGAATATTTATCATGAACACTTTATAAATGATAAAAAAAATATTTAAATTATACAAAACAATTGTGTATCACCTAATTTAAACATACACAAAGTATTTTATACTTATAAAGTAACTATCAAGTATACAACTTAATTTAAATGCCTTTATATATAATTACTTCAATAAAATAGTCACAAAATCTTTTTTGTTTCTATTTACTTTTATCATTTATAAATCATAATTACCTGAACTAATTATTCCTTCAGTTACAAATAATTAAAACTCATAGAAATATTTTAAAGGTCATAAAAGCTTTAGTAAATTGTCCTTCTAAATATGTTTATATTTTGAAGGACAATAAAAAAAGTACAAGCCATTGTTTTAAACAAATTTCTCCAAGTAAACCTGAATGTACCATACTGTTATGCTTTCAACTATAACTTTATAGTTCTACTTACTCTATTACTTCTAGGTATAGAGATATTATTTTCTATGTGATACTTTCACCCTGCTAGCTCACCACAATTCTGCCTGTTTGTTAATACATATCTATGAGAAACCCGTTTTGTGGTTTAAAACAATTGTTTTGGTATCATACTAGTATAATAATAACATAACATTTAATATTAAAGAAAGTTATTACATTTATAACTAAACTATCATGCAAGTAATTTTGTATTTTTCAGGGAAAAACACATAAAAGTCTAAAACTATTGAAAATCTTTGTCTTAGTTAAACTGTTCACAGAATTGTTTTAAACTGTAAATATATAAAACATACATTTTAATTATTATTTAGTAAGAATTATACACTTGCTTCTATTAATTTATAGTGTCTTAATGCTGTTGCAAAAATTGTTGTTACATGAAAGTATGAATTTTTGCTAAATGCCAAATTATCTGGTTATAGAAATAAAAAAGTGTGGAATATGAATAATGTTACACATAAAGGATATATCCACTTGAAACATCTATTTGCATCCTACTTTGGCATCGAGGGGATTATTATTTGATTGCTGATGTATAACAACATAGGGAACAAACATTCAAAACATACAATATTATATAAATGTATTTAAAATATATGTATATATCTAAAGAAACAAAAAACAATACTTTATTGTATAAGAAACTCGGACAAAATTAATTGCACAATTAACATAATTGGAGATAACAATACAATATACATTTTTTAATATATATTTTAAAAGCATCTTATTGTGTTGTATGTTGCCAATTGGATAATTAATAAGAGCTAATTAATTTGATTAAGTGTTATTATGAAACGGGCTTATTGTTACAGTCTGTAAAAAGATGCCTTCAGTGCTCTTATTTTACTACATAAAACCATCTTGGATTTTCGCTCAACCGAAACTAATATAGCGACAAGGTAACGCTTTGTCATTCGTGATTGTTCAATATAATTTTTTGTGGCTCGATATTTTATAAAAAGAAAAGTAGAATTAATACCATATTTTACCTTATTCATAAAATCGACAAATATCGCGACATAAATAAAAGCTTAAGAGACGAAAATTAACAATTTTACGATAGAAGTATCAGCGTCTTTCAAAATGGATGTTTCAATAGAGAAATAACTGTAATTCGTGACAAATTGTTACATTGATCTCTTTATAATAGCCGCGTGCCTAAGACAAAAATTTGAAGAGCTCGAGATCTGATTTCAAACGAATTTTTGTTACGACGTTTTTAGAACAATAAAATGAAAAATAATTAGAGGAAGTTCTGCATCATGAAGATAAGCGATATTAAAGTATTAAATCATATATACGCGTGATGTTTTTTTTTAATTGCCATATTTTTATGGCTCAAGAATATAATTAATCCGTGTAATATAATTCTTATCGTGAAAAGTATATAAGACGTTGGAAAATATTTCGTGGGATTAGACATACATATATATTTTTTTCAACAATAATTACATATAATATAGAAAACTAGCTTTCCGCCTGCAGCTTCGCCCGCGTGGAGTTCGGTTATATCGCGTTTCCAAGAAAAACTTTCATAAATCTGGGATAAAAACTATCCTATGTTCTTTCTCGGGCTCAACTCTATCTCTGTACCAAATTTCATTAAAATCAGTTCAATGGTTTAGGCGTGATAGCGTAGCAGACAGACAGACAGAGTTACTTTCGCATTTATAATATTAGTTTAGAAAATTTGTTTATTTTATGAATACGATCGAAAGTGAGCGATTTACGAGACAAGTCAACAGATCTGCAATATCATAAATGTTGCATACGTCGGTCGAGAATGTTTAATGGTGATCACTTAATATTGGTTAGACTAGCTTTTTTATGACTTAAATCATATAAGCGATTGTATATACTATGCATACATATGAAATAATTGCTTTCGTCAACTTCACCATCGGAACAGATGCCACAAAAATTTCATTACTTTGAAATATTTATCATATAATGAGGGTTTCTTTCATAAATAGTTATAAAGGTCATAATGAAACACTAACCTTTAAAAACTAATCGGTTTCAGTAGCCTGACTGTTTTTATAGGTCATACATCAATACAGCTTAATATAAATAGGCGATTCATCTGATGTAACACGTTACCACATATTCTCATGATACACGAATACAATACTATTTTATTATTACGTCATTGTTTAAGATCTCAGTACGTATTTTTTTAATACAGGTATATTTTTATTACTTTTGTTCATAAAGAACTTGTTAACGAAGAAAGGAAAAGCTTTAACTTTTCAATCTCCTAACTTATATTAACGAGAAAGTTTGCTTGTCTGTGTGTGTTCTCTTATCAAATACTGTACAGGCCGACGGTGGTT